TTCATGCTAATTAAAATTAATAGATATAAGATGCTTTAAAATTATGGAGAGGTACAATGGGATGTTGGTTAGAAGAGAAAGAAAGACGTTCGTCCAAAGGAGAAGCTCCAAATAATTGAAAAGTAATTTGTAATCATGTAATAATATAAGGGTTAATTTCATTCGAAGTCATGATATTTCAATTCGTTTTAAATTACACATTGGAAGTTCATTACTACTCGATATTCACGTAAGTGTTTGACATTGGTCAATGTTGCGGAATTGGAAAGAATAATGCAAATTACAAAATTAAAGCACAATTATTCAATGGATCCAAATTGAAGTATAGTGAGCCGGTTTGAGCCCAATTTTTTATTTATTTTTTAATGAAAAACGCTTTTTGATGGAGATTGTGTAGTTAAAAAAAAGAAAAAGTTTTAGGTTTGATTATGAAATATTATTTTATTGAAGAATGTGAGGATGAAAATAAGAGAGAAAAAATATATTTTGAAAGTAATAGATACTAAACAACGACAATACACGATAGTGAAATTAACTCATTTGAAACGATACAATAAAAAGGTGAGGATTAGGTTGCAACAAATCCCATTAATGGAGGATCAAGAGTATCACTTTTACTATGCTTCCTATTCGGTGAGGATTAAAATTAAATTTTTAGTAAATTTTTAATAATAATTGATAAAATATATGGTCGAAAAAAGCCTCGACTCAAATTAAATTTGATATTTTAATCCTACCAAGAGACTATATCTAGCCATGTGGGCCTGCGTGGGGGTATTTTAGAGAATCAAACCCTCAGTCAATTACCCACGTACACAATGTCCAAGAAAGAACATGGCAAGAACAAGAACAGCCTAGCCAACATAAGCACTGCATGGACCATTTTGAAGTTGTTTCATTGGAGTCCTAAATATTCGTCCTGTATATAAAATAAGTTTTGAGTAGCTAATTAGTTATACCAACCTCCCAATTAGGTATTGGATAAATATTTTTCATATAAAAAAATATAACAAGAAACTTGGATCTAGAATAAATAATATTTATTCCCATATTTAATAAAGAAAATCACTTTTTTTTTTTTTTTTTAGTTAGGTTATGTATCATTAAATGAAATTGAAATACTTCTTATGTGAGATGGTGACTTGTTAACATGCGAAATGGGTGGAGTAACCTCTTGCCAACATTCTATATTGTTGATGCATGAAACTTTATAAAGAAGAGGTCAATTAGTTTGCTCAACCACCACAAAGTGAGTTCTACCGTTCAACTCCCACTATTAAGTCAATTTACTATTTTAGGATAGTATCTAACGTACTAAATGTTTAAGAGAAATCTCACACGTTAAGGGAATGACCATTAGAGGATTATACGAAATAGAGTTAGTTAGAATACTTGACAGTCACATCATCTTAAAATTTGACATGGACGACATATTTAAGAAGTATGTTGATTAGATTAAAGTCACTTTTTTTATAATTAGTACATGCTACAGCCTATTGGAGATCAAAACATGTGTCGTAGGACACCTTCTAAGCTATGTTGGTCTTCCTTCTCTTGGCATAAGCATGTCATTCTATTTACTCTTTTTTTTTTTTTTTTTTTTTTTTTTTTTTTTTTTTTTTTTTTTTTTTTTTTTTTTTTTTTTTTTTTTTTTTTTTAACGAGGTGTCCAACTTGCGCTAGACTATATCCTCGTCCCTGAACCTCCGGCCCCTCAGCTGTTCAGGGAGGTAAATCGCAGGATGTGCCCTTGTTGGTTCCCAGGTTCCCACATGACTTTTACTCCTTCCCCAAATGTCATTCTATTTACTCAACCTTATCTTTGGTGGCTAGGAAACTTAAGGTGCTTCATTTTGTGCTTAGCTTGACTTTTAATTTCTTAAGCATGACTCTCTAATGAAACAAGTTCGCTTTTTCTAGTTGTCAATGTATGATGATTGACCTCGCAGGGCATAACCTTGAAACCTCGTCTTATATGAATTTGGTTTTCTAATCGATACCTGTATTATTAACTTGTCAAGTTATATACACTGGTTACACTTTATAAATGAAGAAATTGGATAAAATATGAATCTTTCAAGCATTGATTTATTTTTTCAATTGGTCTCCCCTTTTTAACCTTTTTTGTCCTTCCATAGCATATTGTGTTAAGAAAATTCTCATACTATTAAGTCATTATGAAAGAGAAAAAATTGTATAAGATATTATTGCTTTAAGCATTTTAACACCATAGGTTACAATAATTCTCGTCTAGTGATGGCAAAACCACCTTTCCATTCCCACCCCATTGGGAATCAAGGTGAGAATGGAGAACATGACTTTTGTCTCGACTCTTATTCTTTATGTTATTTTTTTATGAATTTAAATTGTATTTTAAACATAATATAAATATAAGCAAATTATTGCGAGAAATAGAAATCGTTAAATCCATCCTTCTAAACCCTCTGCCTCCCTAAAATCCCTCAACAAGGCATGGAAAGAGCTGCCCTCACCCTACAAAGGAGTTGAAGTGGCTATGCTCATGCTCGAGGCAAGCACGAGTTGGCTCGCGCGCGAGCTTGAGAGCTAGTAGGCTCGCCCATCCCTGCACCTTGCTTCATTTTTATTTATCCATAAGAAAAGAAATGACATTGCCTTTAATTTTCACACAAGTTTTGCATTCATTCTCTAAATCTTTCATTATGATTAGCATATGCTCTCATCACTCTTCTTAAATTTTAATTTTTTTCTTTTTATTTCATAATTTGTTTGATATTATACCATTCAAAAAAAGAATAATGTTATTTAGCATCATTAGTGTTAAAATAATAATTTAGGTGGAACTGCAGTGACATTAAATGAGAAATACAATCAAATGAGTTGGTTAATTTCATATTTCCTATCACATAACATCTTCTAAATTGGTGTTATAACACCAGCTATACGAGATAACATTATTCTTCGAAAAAAGCTTTTCACCATATAATCTCTACTTCTATATTTGTTGTTGCATTATTGCACCACGTAATTTATGTAATGGATAGCTCATTATCATCTTCTTCAAACGAATATAATTTATTCAATTTCTTGTCAAACTTTAAAAAATTCAATAAAAAGGTCGTTGTGATACAATATTCGGTATTATATGAAAGAAGGATTGAGATTATTCTTCATTAAATTACTATAGGTTTAGCAATTCTTTAGCCTTTGATGTTATTGGCAACAATAGAAAATTATAATTTACTTTGTATTTTGACGATGGTAATTTGACTCTTATAAAGAAACTATTTACTATTAAACACATTACATCAGACGAACCTCATCTTCACGTTTTGCAAATTATTGCACATTTTTTTTTTTTTTTACAAAATTTTAATTTGATAAATAAAAATTTTAATTTGATAAATAATAGTATTTTACGACATCTACGGCAGTTAATATATTCTTTTCGTTCTAGTAGATCGTTTGAATACAACTGTAATGTCAAGTATTTCAGTCAGTGATACATTCTGGTGCTCATACATTAGAAGGTCCTTTAGGTAATTTAGAGTGTAAAATTGAGAATATGGAGACAAAAACTTTCACGGTGATTTTCCTCATGTTTTCAAAATAGTATTGATGGGATGCAATTTCAATTTTTTTTTTTTTTTGGTCATGTAGATTTTGAACAAAAATATAATAAAGCTAGAAGTATAGAATATGGCTATTTGAACTAACAACTTGAAATATTGAATACTTTATGCAATTAAGTGAGGAATAACGATCATCGTAATGGTTTGCTTGGGCTTTTAGAACATTATTCGTTATAAAAATGTAATAACTATTTTTTGTATCATCAATTTCTCGTTTTGACTTATGGTGAGTAGAATATATTCATTTTATTTTACAATGTGCTAAATATATTTTTGCCTTCTATGTAATGTAAATTTTGTTTTTCCAATTTAAATTATGTTATCCCCTCTCTTTCTTTAGAATTCTTACAGGGTAGAGATGAAGATTCTTTGTTATCCCCGAAGTATGCATAGTGATGAAAAATACTTTTAAAAATATTTTTCAACGTGTACCAATTATTTTTTTAATTGTAATGTTCAATCCCTATCTCAAATTACATGGAATCGAACATTATTTTCAATTAATTCAAAATAATATAAAGTTTACATTTTAAACAAATATATACTTGCTACACAAAAGAATTATAGAATTGTGTAATTTGTAGTCCGATTCAAACTATAAAGATTTAAATTTTCTCTAGTTCAAAATGTAGAAACTCATATGCTTGTCAACCATCTTTTCAAATGTTCAATTGTAGACTACTAAGGTACTATTGTAACTATACTTCGTTTCTTTATTCATTATTAGATTGTATTTATTCTTTTTATACAAAAATTGTACACGAAATATTATTTTGGGTAATTTTAAGCCTATCTACATCTTAGATGATCGATTCCGAGCCCGAATAAAGGATAAATATTTTTACTAATTTTACCTCATCTTATAAAGAAGAAGAATCAAGTGTGAGACTAATGAGACCAGAGAAGAGGCACTAAAGCCTAGACTTCTTTGGTGGAATCGTACTTTTTTCGGTAAAAACGAATTTTTCTTATAAAAATGTCTTATTATACTTCACGGGAAAAGGTCGATTTGCAATTTTTACAAAAATAAAAAAAGACACTTTAAAAAAAGGGACGAGTTGGTATGATGAATCGAGCCAAAAAATTTGGAATCGAGTTAGCTCACGTTTGGCTTTTCCCAAATGCAAGCGCGAGCTCACTTGTATAGTGAATTGAATCGAATCCAACGACAAGCGAGGCAAGCCATTCGACTTTGCCCATTGAACTCCCCTATCTCCAAATCGAAGGACGAAGGGGGGAAAAAAAATAAAAAATCAAGAATTTTCAATTAGAAAAAACAATGTTCAGAAAATTGTGGGCCAAACCTGCAAAAAACTTTAACAAACAAAATCATTTTAAAATTCAAAAGAGATTAAAAAAGTCCAAAAGCCAACATAGACGAGGACAAATCAAGCACGTGAACTGCCCAAAACTTGCCTGCAAAAATTTCCTTCGCTTTTGCTTTTATGAAAATCCTATTGTTCTCTCTGATCAATCCTCACACCCTTTCAGTCCAATCACTTCACTGAAAAAAAAAAAGCAAGTTTTCCCAAGATAAATAATATATTTATCAACAATAATACACACACAAAAAAAAAAAAAAAAAAAATTTCTTGAAAACCATCTTCCTTTTAAATTTACAGTCTGTGATGCCTTGGCGTTTTGTTTAGGACCTTTTGCACCGGTAAATGCCATCTGATTCGTAATTGATAGAGATTTTGCGATGCTGAAAATTTGAATAATACTAATTAGAGTAGTGAAGCTAAAAATCGCCAGCAAAAGCAAATGGAATTTGTGGGGATCAGTTTCATATACGAAAATTCCCAGATCTCAAGAATCTCAGAATTTCAGCCCTAGTCTCTGTTTTTACTTTTTCAAGAAAATTCTCTTCATTTTCTTGGTTTCACCCACCTGCAATTGGGTTCTTATTTTCTTGAACAAGATTGAAACTTTTTATCATATGGGTTCTTATTTTTGAGGCACAAAGAGTGAATTCAAGATTCTTTTGGAGACAAGCAGAAAAATAGCATTTCTTTATAGGGTAGTTGTGGATATGCTTCAAGAGGTTCTGATTCTGGGAGTCTACCTTTTGCTGTGAGCTGTTTTCATAATAAGGTAATGTGAAGGAAATGAAGTTAAGTGTGAGAATGACTTATTCTCTTAAGCGTTTGAAGAGAAAGTGAAATTGAAAAAGCATGGAGAAAAGGGAGTTTCTTTTCTGGAAAGTGGGATTGATATTTTTAGCAATCATAGATGGTTCTTCTGCAACGCTGTCTCCTTCTGGTATAAATTATGAAGGTAAAATTTTCATCTTTTATTCAATATAGAAGGGAAAAGTTATTCTGTTTTGAAATTCTTGTATGATTCATGGTGTGATTTCCTACTTTTTATTTAGATTAAAGTTCAGTTCTTCTTGTTTCTCTTAGTTTCTATCTTAATCTGTAGATTGAGTGTGATTTCCTGCACAGAACCTGCATATCCTATACACATATTTTGATATCTACACTCCACTGATTATCCTTTTTCTGTCCGCCCCCTTTTCGCGTTTTGGCTTTGTAATTCCGTGGCTTTGAAACATGCCTTGTAACTTTTTTCTTTTACTGATGTTTACTCTTGTTTGATGAGATCGGGTAAAATGGAAACTTACTAGCAGTATTTTGTTTTTGACGAATTATATTGTGTTCTTTAACGATATGCAGTTGTAGCTTTGATTTCTATAAAGAATGATTTAAGCGATCCGTATAATGTTCTGGAGAATTGGGATGCTAATTCTGTAGATCCTTGTAGTTGGAGGATGATCACCTGTTCCCAAGATGGTTATGTTTCTGCTTTGTAAGTTGCCTAACATTACACATTTTCTTGAGAAATTCAAGCAGTCTTTCATTCATGATCAATACAATTTTCATTATATGCATTCTTTTTTGGTGATTTTCGTGCTATCAGAGGGCTACCTAGCTTGGGATTGTCAGGGAAATTATCGCCTGGAATTGGGAATCTCACTAATTTGCAATCTGTGTACGTTGTTTCTATTATAATTTTTCCATCGCCTTTTTGTAATAGGTTGTATTACTTCATTTGATGCAGCTTTGCATGTGGAATTTTTTTTCCAATTATAATATTTTAATATATTGTTTAATAATCATATGTTTTTTTTGCAGATTGCTGCAGAACAATGACATTTCTGGTCCTATTCCTCCTGTAATTGGGACGTTGGAGAAGCTTCAGGCACTCGATCTCTCAAACAATAAATTCATTGGCGGAATACCAAGTTCTCTAGGAGACCTCAAGAATTTAAATTATTTGTGAGTTCTAGGGACTTTTGCAATTTAATATTTCCAATGACTCAAGATTGACTCTCGGATTTTCTGTTTCTTTGAGCAAGTCAGGCGGCTTAGCAATAACAGCCTTTCTGGACAAATTCCAGGCACTCTTTCTAATGTCAAAGGCCTCACTCTGGTGTATGGTCTTGTGCTTTTTGTTATTCTATTTGTTTTCAAATTTACATTAATTTATTCTTTTTTTCTTTGAATAAGTTGAACATTTATTGTTTGCAGGGACTTAAGTTTCAATAATCTTAGTGGTACTGTGCCGAAAATTTCTGCAAGAACGTTCAAGTGAGTTTCTCTATCTGTTTCTGATAAAGATCGGTCTGACATCATTAGTTATCTTAACAAATTAATGTTCGTTTTTCTGTAAATGGTTTTCAGAATAGTTGGGAATCCTTCAATATGCAGGCAGAGTTCTCAAAACAATTGTTCTGTTGTCCTTCCAGAACCATTGTCCTTCCCACCGGATACTATGAAAGGTATGCATTTCTTTGACCCCCAATCTCCAGTCCTCTAGTCCATAAAATAGAAAAGAGAAAGAGAAAGAGAAAATGGTCTTCATGTTGGATGGAGTGCAACCTAATCATTCTGTACACTTACCTCTGGACTGTGGATCTTTAGAGGGCCATTTTCTTGGGGACAGGGATACACAAGATATACCTTGTACACTTATTCTACAATATAATTAAAGCCTTCTGTGGCTTGTGGATATAGCTCTCACATTGTGTGCTTTGTTTTCTAATTGCTTCTCATTATCCATGACACTTATTTGAGTGCTACTTGTTTGTATCATTGGCAACATGTCCTAAGTATTTATTTGCTTTCCAGAATCTGGAGGAAAAAGCCATATAGCTGTTGCTTTTGGAACAAGCTTTGGGGCTGCATTTTTAGTTGTATTTGTTATTGGGTTGCTTGTTTGGTGGCGATATAGGCGCAATCAGCAGATTTTCTTTGATGTTAACGGTAAGTTCAGTATTAAACTTTCAATATATCGTTGTGTCTCTGATACATATACTGAAATATTTCAATCTTTTATGTGACTACATGAAGATATCAATTATCTTAGTTAATGAATTGGTTTCGTCATCTTTAAATACTGGAGTACGAGCATTCTAATTCCCGTTTTGAAGCAATATATTGTCAAAATCTGGGGTTCCATTGTTTATGCCTTTATTGCGTTAATGTTTCTGTTGAAGTTTTCAAAGCTTTTTTGTAGGTACTTCAAACTTGCTGCATAAGTGAAATTCAATTTGAATAAAAGAGAAAAGTTGGCAACAAGCTTGTAGAATCAAGCATCTTCTTGGTTTAAAGAACATGAGCTAGTTATATATGAAATTTGAACGGCACATTGTTTGTACTATGTTATACGACACATTGTTTGTACTATGTTATCTCTTTGTGGTAACTGAAAAATTATTAAAGACTCATTCTCAACTTCAGTAAGTTGCTTGTGGGCTAGTCAATTTTAATTCAAAGCTGATGTAGAAGTCCTGAAAGGAGATTGCATCTGGAACTCAGCAGCACGGGAGTTCTCTTCCTCACAAAATCAGTACACCTATTGTACCACCGTATTAAATTCAGCGCATGGGAATATTGTTAAGAATTTTTATAATCATCTAATAAATTTAGAAAATATCCACTTTTTTAGTGATGCTTTCAAGTCCCGTGAGAGAATCAGCTGCCAGAAATTAAGGAAATTCATTATGTAAGTGAAGAGAGGATCAGGATTGTCAGCCAATATAAGAATGTTTGCATTTGAAGTTCGCAGGTACAAGTTAAACCAAGTATTGCTAATAAATGATAATGCAAAGCTAATTCATTTCTGAACATTTATGACAATGTTCTTTGATCATGGATCAACATTTTAGTGGAATGCACTGTTTTCAATCATGTTTTCGAAGTCTGTAGGTTCTTTATCTGTGAGATCGTTCACTTGTCTTTTGCTTTGATATGACGGAATGCTTACTGAACACACTTATTTTTACTAGTCTATTACCAGCCTTCTGATTATTATAAGGTTGATTGGCAGATCAATATGATCCAGAGGTACGCTTAGGTCATTTGAGAAGTTATACCTTTAAGGAGCTCCGAGCTGCAACTGACCATTTCAACACGAAGAATATATTGGGGAAGGGAGGATTCGGGATTGTGTACAAGGGCCGTTTAAATGATGGGACTGTGGTGGCTGTCAAAAGGTTAAAGGACTATAATGTTGCTGGTGGTGAAATTCAGTTTCAGACAGAGGTAGAGATGATTAGTTTAGCTGTCCATCGAAATCTTCTTCGTCTCTGGGGTTTCTGTTCAACTGAAAATGAGCGGCTTCTCGTTTACCCATATATGCCAAATGGTAGTGTGGCGTCTAGGTTGAAAGGTAATCGAATTTTTTGCTCCAAGTATTGTTGTTACCGAGCCATATTGGAAACATCAATCGAACTTATCATGTACTGTTTTGGATTCACATATTTCATGTGTTCTCAAGCGTTATTTCAAGTATAACATCAATATGGATGAACAAATTGTTGCGAAGATAGTTTTCCAAAATCTAATGGGTTTCAAGTCTACTTATTATATCCCTGTTTGGCCCCCAATTTTGAGAAATCATTTAGCTCCCAAACTCATTTTCAACCATACATTTTATGGGACTTACAATTTTTATCATCTTTTCAATTACACATTTCATCAATTTTTATTAAAATCTACTAAAAACTGATTTTAGCAATACCAAACAAGGGCTATATGCATTACCAGGAATTCACTTTGAACACTATACAATTATCATAATTCTCTCACTACATTTTTTCGCCTTATGCTTATGGAAGAGCAACTTCGACAATAATTACTACCTCAAAGTGATGATGTCTAGATGGTCTAATGTGTGATTGATTTCCTGTGTTGTTCTTTCAGATCATGGCCATGGGAGGCCGGTATTAGACTGGTCTAGGCGGAAAAGGATTGCTTTAGGTACAGCAAGAGGACTAGTATATTTGCATGAACAATGCGATCCCAAAATTATTCATCGTGATGTGAAAGCAGCCAACATTTTGTTGGACGAAGATTTTGAGGCAGTTGTTGGGGATTTTGGAATGGCAAAGCTCCTGGACCACCGGGATTCTCACGTTACCACAGCCGTTCGTGGCACGATTGGCCACATTGCGCCGGAGTATTTATCGACCGGTCAATCTTCGGAAAAGACTGATGTCTTTGGGTTCGGAATTTTACTTCTTGAGTTAATTACCGGTCACAAGGCCGTGGACTTTGGACGGGGAGCCAACCAAAAAGGGGTGATGCTCGATTGGGTATGCTCTATCTCTTATACACGAGTGTGTGTGTGCACATGCCCTCAGTACTTAGCTGCTAGTGTTTAACTGTCTACAAGAACTTCAAACATGATGCTTATATTGCTGTCCTCAAATAAACGCTTCTATTTGCTCCTTTCTATTAAAATAAAGCTGTAGTTCTTGTAATCATAATTTTCTTCGCTGAATTACGATCATTTCGCTATGCTTCCATTTTTTTGCCCTTGGCAATTAACCGTCACATGGATTCACTGAAACACCGCTTGTGCAGGTAAAGAAGCTCCATCAAGATGGTAAGCTGAACCTTATGGTGGACAAAGATTTAAAGAACAATTTTGACAGGGTAGAATTAGAAGAAATGGTCCAGGTTGCTCTCCTTTGTACTCAGTTTAATCCTTCCCAACGTCCTAAAATGTCGGAAGCATTAAGGATGTTAGAGGGTGATGGTCTAGCAGAAAAATGGGAGGCATCACAATCAGTTGAGACAACTCCGAGGTATGGAAATCCTCTACAAAGATATTCCAATTTCATCGAAGAAGCCTCTCTTGTGATTGAAGCAATGGAGCTCTCAGGCCCAAGATAATGCTCGTTTATCTCTTTCTTCTATATATATGTTCTTGATCGATATCATATATTTTTGTGCTTTTTCTGGAAAACATCAACTTCTGTTAATAGCAATTGAAATGGGTGAAATGGAGAAGCGTTACTGGAATTTTGTGTGATTTGATCAGAGATTCTGCCCGTGATCTGGGGATCTCCATTCGGGAAACCATATCCAAGCTCCATCAGCTTTACAGAGGAGATATTCAGATCTGTTATGTTGATAAATTGAATAAATAGAGATAAGATAATACATAATAATATATAGAATTTTAGAGTTGTGGGGGCAAATTTCAGAAAATTTCAATTGTGGGGCAAAATTGAAAACTATTAGGGAATTTTTCAAAAATCTTGTGCAAAATTTTGGATTTAAAATTTAGAGTGGGAGTAGGTGATCCCACTGCTCCCACTGTAGAACCACCCATGCAACCCTCTATTGTTAGAAGACCTGAAGAAACTTGTGCTCAAGAGACACGATTTAAATATAAGAAGTTAGAAGTGGGAGTAGACCAAAATTTAGATGGCTAAATGTAGCGACTAGAGATTTAGCCCCTGTTTGGTGTGACATACACGATGAACAAGGAACCTAACACGAAGAACTCAAACCTCTAAATTGTAACGCTAATCTACTAAGGATTCCTATAGCAACACTCATCTGGAAACTAGACAGCAGTAGTTCACTAAGAAGAAATATATAGAGGAGTAGAAACAGAGAGAACTAGATGAGATAGAAAGCTGATCAAAAGAGAATTAATTGTTTCAATGGTCACAGAATTTAGGTTCATGTCTTTGATTGATTTGAAATTTAAAATGTCGAGTTTTGGTCATTGAACTTAGGTTTATGCCTTCAATTGCTTATTGAAGCTTAAAATGTCATGTTTTGGACACTATTGTACGTTACTCACAAGTATAAATGTTGAATTTTGAAAAATGTTAAGTTTACAGTGAGTAATGTATAACATTTTTTCAAAATTCAATGGCCAGAACTTAACATTTTAAAATTCAGTGAGCAATTGAAGGCACGGACCTAACCTCAGTGATCAAAATTCGACATTTTAAACTTCAATAACTAATTAAAGATATGGATCTAAATTCAATGACCATTGAAACTATTAACTCATCAAAAGAACATAAACTCTTAATCGGTGAGGCTTCTCAATGTGTAGCACCCTTCCAATGGCGAAGATCAAATGCAATTATCAACGGTTGGAATTAAGCTGAGGACTGAAAACACACGTCTCCTCGTAAGTACAAAAACGCGCTTTACAACATGCAACGGGGCTTGTGGCTTCATCATGTGAGTCACTTTGTCAATAATCTCCACTTTAAACCATATGTCAGTGACTAGTGCAAAATGAGATTTCACTTTAATTTGTGCCATTGCCTCTATGTACCTGCAAAAACAAGAACAAGTTAGTAATAAGCAAAATTAAAATATAAATCAAAATTTGCTTAAAATAAAGCACTTAAACCTATATCAATGTTAAGTAAGCTTAAGCAACTTAAAACTTTTTAAAGGTGATGACTTAGTCCTCATATTCGAGCCATTGTACTGTAAAGAGATTTTATCAAGTTTGATCAGATTTGGATACAATTTCTTTTGTCTAAAATCTTTCATATCGAATTATGAACTCAAAATAGTTTTTATGTTACTAATAGTGCCACAGATGATCTGATTAGTAACATATCATCAACTTACAACAACAAATAAATAGGCATTTGTTTAGGAGATTCAAATTTGATGTAAAGATAGTGATCAAATTCATTTCTTTTAAATCTAAAATTTAATTCCATTGCTTAGGTAGGGGTGTCAAATGAGGTGAGCTGCTCATCGACTCGTACAAGTTGACTTATGCAGTGAGCTAGTCGGCTTACCTTACGAGCCAGATCTTACTTAACCTAGCTCCTGAGTTAAGGCTACGTGTGCGGTCGACTAACTGTTGTGCATGACTAAAAAGCAACCATTGCAAGGTGATATCAAGTTATTCGCAATGGCTAAATTCAAATATAGAATATTCAAAATTCAATTTTAATTAATTAATTAATTAATTATTATTTTTTTCAATTTGTAGTTTATAATTGGGTTGATTATAAATCAAATTCATCACACTTCAAAAATTTCCCTGCAATCTCTCTAACATACTACTCTCGTCTATCTGATAGTATAAATTTGTAATTTCGGTTGATTTTTTTTTCCTTTATTTATTTATTTTTTTTTTTTAAATTTTCTTCTTCACTCAGGGACATCACTTTTGTGCTCAAGCAGTTAGCTATCTGCTCTTTGATGTTGTTTGTTTCGTCCATATCCTTCAAGGTGTGAACATCTGTAGATTTATCATCCTGCACAACCAAATCCTATTAATAAAATTCAAAATACTGCAAAAGTTGATGCATTTAACAGGGAAAATATATCACCTCAATTATTGCCAGTTCCCCTTCATGGCTTGTTTCACTATCCAGTTGAACCCTGGGCAGGCCACAGTCAGTAGATCCAATTTGTAATTTCTTCATCAGGCGAATTCTTCTAGGGGCAGACGGGCAGTTCCCCCTGCTGCAAAATTTTGGGCACCTGTTCGATTTGGAGGTTGTTGAGTACTCAGTTTTTTTCCAGTTCCGATAGTGCTGCCACTGCCCACCACATTGCTGTGACCAACTGACTGTTCTATGTTTGTTAAAACTAAAATCGCATTTAACATAAATAGAAACTTGAATAGGAACAAAGCGTCTTGTAATAGGCCGACACATGTGTGGCCCACATGTCATCCCAGTTGTGTACATGTATCTGTAATAATATAAGAAGGGTTAATCTATTTGTACAAAATCGTTTATCTAATGATTTATCGAATTGACAAGTGGTTGCCCATTTGATACTTGTAGCATCTTTCATATAAGAATGGGTTGTGCTGCACTACCAAGTGGGGGTTTACAGAACCCCCACAAGCTACACACATACATAGGGTGGATAGATATTTGTGGGGTATTTTTTGTGAGACTCACCTGATGTGCGAGGGGCCTTTACACTAAGCTTAATTCTATAACAATTGTGACGTGGACCATTTTTGAATTGAATTGATATTTATAGCACCAATATAGTTCATATCCGTATGTGTGTGGGCTGACATGTATTGGAGTTCAATAATTTTTTAACTCAAAAATCGAAATAGATAAATTATAAATTTACACAATAATTGTAATTTCTACTTTATTTAATTTTTCAAAAATCAGCTTTTAAGTATGAGAATATTTTAAAATATATTACTTCATTATTATTTAAATTTGAAAAATGAAAGAATAATTTATTTGAACAAACTTTTACAATAAAATAATTATTTTAATTTGGGAAATTTTGTCACCTTCTGTTTAAGGTGTCCCATAAATTTTAAAATTTATATTTGTTACAACTCGAACTAAAAAATACCCAAAATACAGAGAATAAAATCCTTCAAATCAAAACATCACGAACTCATAATTGACATAAGGAATCGATCATTTTGGGCTCAGAAATAACATTGTTCCCTTCTGTACACCAAAAAACTCAACAAACCCAAACCAAAAATAGAGAAACAGATGCAGCTGCTTCAATAGACTCAAGAAATGACCAACAACAGATTTCAGGCTCTCAAAACTAAGATCGAAGAATTATACAGATTCTACACACAAATTTTCCTCCCAAAACAGGAAATTTTAGGGCTACACAAAGTACGTGAAAGAGAATGAGAGAAGTCACGAAGAAGAAAAAACCCTAGAAGCTTCTCGCAGAAATCAGAGAGTCGAAAAAAATAAATAATGCAACCACTCAGGTCACTTGTATAGAAGGACTCATCACCGTAGATCTTCAGTTGGTAATCAAGGGTCTGGAGCAACACACGTGTCCACTAACTTGGATTGAGTTTAGGTCCATCTTGGATGCGTTATCGGGCAATGGCAAATTCTTTCGGCAAGTGGGCTTGGCCCATTTCATCATTGCCCAAGGCCAATTTAATGGCATCACAACCCAATAAATCTCCCCCCTGATACTAATGATCAAACCATTAGAGAAATGTAACAGTGGACTTCTTTGAACACATTCATAGCAGTTTCTCCAAAATCATCAGCACTAAGTTAAATTGTACCTGCAGCATCACAAAGATTACCCAGTATCAATTCTTAGAGTTTGCAAACATGGCTTAAACTTGTTGAGAGGAAATACCTTTGTTCCCGTGTCAGCTGGATTAAATTGTGTTGGAATTTTTTCAAGTAAAATTGATTCCTTTTGGATTATATCTCTAATGAAGTGCATCCTAACATCTATATGCTTAGTTCTTTCATGAAAAATAGGATTTTTGCATAAGTGGATGGCACTTTGACTATCAGAATAAACCACAATAGGATCAACAAGTTCATTTACCTCATTTAACAAACCTTTGAGCCATAAAGCCTCTTTAATGGCTTCAGTTGCAGCCACATATTCAGCTTCTGTGGTAGATAAAGCTACAATAGATTATAGCTGAGATTTTCAGCTTATACAAGTATTACACAAAGTAAACATATAAGAGGTAGTTGACTTTCTATCATCCCTACAACCAGCATAGTTTGAATTTACATATCCCTTCAAGATAACTCCCTCCTTACAAGGTTTAAAACACAAACCTAAGTTAGCTTACCCTTTTAGGTATCTAAGTAACCACTTTAAGGCAGTTCAATGTTCAAGACCAGGGTTTGCTATAAACTTACTTAACGTAGTAATAGAATGGGCAACATCAGCTCTAGTACACACCATAGTGTATGTCACAGATCCAACAGCATTGACATATGGGACCTTTTGCATGTATTTTATGTCAGACTCATCAACAGGACACTGATCCTTACTCAATTTAAAATGACGTGCAAGAGGCAAAGTAACAGACTTGGATTCATGCATAACAAACTCATATAACACCTTTTTCACATAATCAAATTGTGTTAAAATAAGTAACTGTTGGGATCTATTCCTTTTAATATCCATCCCCAAAATTCTTCTAGCATGGCTTAAGTCTTTCATTTCAAATTCAGAACTTAAAACCCTTTTAATGCCATTAATGTCACTTATATTTTGGCCAATTAACAACATATCATCAATATACAAGAGCAATTAAACAATCACAG